TCTTCTGTGCCGCGACTCGGGTGATTGGCAATAAGCAGCTGAGCCGTATTCCAATATTAGCCTTATGGTGGAAGAGATGAGACCAGTTACGATATAGTCTGTCCTTGTTGTCAGCAGATTTTATGTAGAAGCTCGTGAGTACAACTAGATCATTTAAGGAAGCTGTGAGATGTAGCTTTTGGCCATGGATGGTGTATATTCGGCCATCATCACCCTTCCGCAGGTTCATAAATACCGACTTGGATGGGCTAACCAAGAGGCGGACTTCAGCAAACCACATGGAGAGGCGGTTATGGTCGTCCTGAAGTAGGCTGCAGACGTCTGAGGTTGTAGTTACACACCAAATCTTCAGGTCGTTTGCAAACAGAGCACACGGCGACCAAAGAAGCTGAGGTAAATCGTTGACGTGGATTAGGAACAGAGTGGGCCCCAGCATCTTAGTTTGGGGTACTCCAGTGCTAGAGGAATACCAGTCAGTTAGATGGACATTGACATTTACCCTCCACTTTCGCCCAACAAGTTAGTCCTGGATCCACTGGTGCAGTGATCCAGCAACATTGCACATTCTCAGCTGTTAGAGGAGGACCTCATGGTTTACTTTGTCGGACACCTTACCAGAAGTCGATGTAAATTACCTCGACAAACTTCTCCTGATTTACTGCCTACAAACCTTTATGTCACGTCACCACTAAGTTGGTAATGCATGAGCGACGTCAGTAGCTATCTTGATTGGAGCAGAGATAGTAGACTGCACAGCAAGATCTCCGCAACCTTGGCCAAAATAGGTGTCAAACAACTCGACCTGTAGTTCTCCACTTTGCTGCTGGCACCGCCTTTAGGAATCGGCTTAATCACTGAGCAGTGCCTTTCTTTTGGGAATGCACCTTCGAATAGTGACCTGTTGAACAAGTCAGTCATAGCTGGTAAGATCAGTGGAGTCCGTCTGGGCCGGCAGATTTGGTGCCGTCAAGGTTGGTGAGTAGTTAAACCACCACTTCATCAAGCAAACCAGATTGTCGAGATTGGTAAGCGTAGTACACGTCGAACTCCGTACAGACACCTGGTCATTTGCATACACGGAGCCGAAAAGCTTTGCCAAGTCGGAGGCATACTCAAGGATATAGTTTCGTAGCTCTCCGTTCGAGCCTTCTAGCACAGGCAGAACACCTGCTTGCTTGACGTGCCGCTTCATTTTCGCTAATATTTTTTCGGAGCTGTTTTTGCGGTGGTTTCAAGCTACTGTTCATAATGACGTCGGATGCTTGTTTTTGCACCATTGCAAATATTTCTTTGTCCCTTATATGCCTTGTAATCGTCGGAAGTGCTAGAGAGCGGGAATTTGTCCCGCAGTTGCGCCGCTAGGCAATTTGCCATAGTCGTTGTCGAAAAAATGTGAATTGACTGGTCTAACTCGCCAACACCTTAACGGTACAAATTGTTATGGCAGTCCTTTTCTACTACCAGTCCAACAGTCTTCCACTGATGCAGTTTGCAGAAGAGATCAGTCTACTTTGCCCGCGGCTTGAGTTAGACCGTCTAAGTTAGTTTACCAGTAGTTGTAATCTGGCTCCTGTGGACGAGGATGCGGTGAAACTAGATCCATAATGGCTATGAGTACTGACTAATCGCTTGCATCTAGGGAATCTAGGAACAGAACGCCATACATATGTTGGACATAGCTTGTTAATACTAAGTCCAGGCACGGCGGAGTTGAGCGCGGCTTTTTTCCCGTCGGCTGGTATACGCGTTGCATTGCTCCACTTTCAAGTACTTGGTCCACGAACTTTGTTTCCGCCTCGCAATGTCCTGGCAAACGTTCAGTTGCAGGCCTGCAAATTTTCTCTTATCTCAGTAGTGATTTGCTGTCCTGTGTCTCCTGTGTGCTGTACTGTCAACTGTTAAACAGTCGGCCTCTGCTTTTTATATAATGGAACTAGTGACGAATTTATTTGCGTCAAATCTAGGGATCCCACCTTTACCTCCATGCACACCACTTTGTATGTTAGGTCTGGGGTTTATTCTCTAGTTTGGTATGTCAACTGAGGGAAGTCGTCTGATCCGTTGTCAGGAAGTGGTTCTACTGCATCGCTGTTCTCCTATGTTTAATTACGAGACACTGATTTGATTAGCAGCTCGGAAGTTAGGTAGCTGCGACCTGCATACTAGCACACCAACAACTTCTTTGACATTTGTCTGGAATAAAGGACAACTTTCAGAAGCCTTGAGCCATATCCCTTGTAACTTGGCAAGTTGCACAGCCTCGAAATGGATTACGTTATGACGTTTTCTAGGGAGAGATTTTCATGAATGTAGCACCACTGCTTCTGGTCGTGGGTGGTCGCTTGGAATTTCAATATGTCCTTCAGCCTCTGTAACACCATGTACCAGGACGGTCCGTGATACGGATATCTTCCTATATTATTCCAACTAGTGCTTCGCTTTTTTCACTTGCTCCACGGGATAGCCGTGATAATGCGAATGGAGCAGGACCTATTCCGGAGGCGAGCTGTCGATTAAAGTACTGCTTTGGTTCACTCGGTTGGAGCTGATACAAACGGAGAGGTCTCGGTTCACCGTAGTACTATGAATTTGGGTGACAGGTAACCTGTGTCAAATTTGCGTACTCACATACTACTCCTAGGACTTCATATGCGAAGTCTCACTGATTCACAATATCCAGTTGTTTACTTTTTAAGGAATTGGATGTCCATTCTGTGTGTGCGTCTAAGGCCCAACAACAATTGAAACATAAGTAACTAGCAGAAACATCGTTTGGCAGTGCAGCAAAAGTATTTGGCCATGGATAAGTTTTCCATATTTCTTTCTCCGTTCATCTTAACACATGAGGTCGCATGCACTTCTGTTGGGTATGTTTCGAAATCAACATTTTCCCAGTAGCAACGACGGTTTCTACCACACGGGATTTCGCAAGCCTTTACCCTGTCAGTCCTGGTTTTCACTTTCAAACACAGTTTAGAATCATCAGGTCAACTTGAGAATGACTGACCGTATTATCCATGATTCACAGTTTCACCAGTATCACTGTATCTATGCCACTTAAATGTGTCAGACAAGCAAAATTGGATGATTCTGTATATCGTCATTCACTTCACTATTCTCGATCATCAACGACACGTTAGTGTATTTCATGGCAATCGTTTTGTGAATTTTGGAGACAGGAGACTACAGCTCATGTTATTGCTATTTTGATCCATAAAGCTCGATTAATGCGAATAATAGGTAGTTACATGTAATGCGCTGAGCAGTCCGAAGTGCATGTTAATTCTTTTGAAACTACCCCAGATACTTTTCTGCTTTAGAGGTCGTTGTTTATGGTCTGCAGGCTGTTTGCACTAAGGTTGCAAATACAGGTGTATAAATGATGTATTTTGGGAATCTAACAGAAAACTACCATAAACAATAGGGCTTTATTGTTTAATGAATTCAAAATCGCAGCCGGACTGTAATGACGTGGTTGTGATTATTCGCCCTACTAGTTCCTTGATATTTCTTGATGTTACATGCAAAGAGTTGTAAATGTGAAGCCATGACATCCACTAGATCGTTTATGAAACTCAAAGAAACCCGGCGCGTTAGCGGGGACCCTTAAATCAACCGCACTCAATTCCGGTTGTGTCGGACAATGACTCAAAAGTTCCATCTTCAAGCTACGTTCATCTGAATGATTAAACTTCCTACTCTGGTTTGGGTAGTTAATAATATGTTTCTATACAATGAAGACCACATTAGCACTTCAGAGAGCAATGGCTTTCGAAAAAGGCGTGCAAGCGACATGGAACTAATCACGTATGTGGTCATTCGCTGGAATTCAACCATAACACCAATCTCAGAGGTAACCCTCTGAATTTGAGGGCCCAGTATAGCCATCTGGAATGTCGGCGGAATTATTTTATTAACTTGAAGATTCCAATTTAAGTCGCGAGAAGTAAAGACTATCTGGTGAGCAATTGCTTTCAATGATTCATTAGACCATTATTTAGCCTCTATATGATTGTAATGGTCGGAAAATGAATTATCGAAAGACATTGCTCACCAGTTGGAATTGTTTAACTTCACATAAAATGTTTATCAAAGCGGAAAGCCTCGCTTTTACTGTGTCATCTGGGGAAAACTACGTGTATTAATAAAGCTCTGCTCATTGTGCTAAAGCAAATACGGTGTAAATCTAGAAATTTAATGTAAACAAAACTTTATCTGTTCTTCTGCTGGGCTACGTGGAGAGTGAAAGCCATAAGAACGTCATGCGTGCGACTCCCATCTCGCATATTCAGATAACATTCCAATAAGGACGTAACGCATGAGGTTGGCACAGGGTGTATTATGTTGGCATGCCACTCACTTTCAACCATGTCATTATCTAATCACACTGGATACGAATGGCATGCACTGTTTCAAATCTCAAGGTCTCTTGCTCCACGGTATTTGAGTGGTCGCTGACACACCCGTAATGATGGAAGCACAACGTGTCTGCGCTCGCAAATATAGTTTACTCGACAGTCGCATTTTAGGTGTATCTTGTCTACTGGAAAATGGCAGATGTAACGTCCTTGGCTAAGCACCAAACCTTAAAGATTAGTGGACCATCCTCACCTACATCTCGTCATGTTACGGATGTGAAATGTTCCGCTGTGCAGCAAAAGAGCAGGTTGGTCAAAACTTATTTATACCATAATAAAGGTAGGAACATATTCTTCGCTATGTAACCAGGATAATTTCTACATTTTCCAAACTTCTTAGGAGGAAGCATACATATGTCCGGTCTTATTCAGCTGTTTTATACTGACACTATCATTTCTTGTAGTGTGTGGTATTTGTTGGCTAGTAAGTGTGTAGCTGAAGCAATGGATAAGAGCTCAACGTATGACCCAATTATACTTTTCCGCTGTTCGCCTACTTTCCATATGGCCGAATACTAACGTTATCATGCTACAGCACCATGTTAACGTATAACTCTAACAACGCGGACGTTTCTATTTTAGCGCAGCTCTACAGAATTTGGAAGGAAACTCGCTTTGTGCTCGTTGTGAAGAGCCATTTACCCCGGAGGAGAAGATCATCTCTTGCAAGGAGCAATTATTTCATGACAGTTGCTTTGTGTACGTTTACCATTTATTCGCTTGGAATTTCCTGTACTGTACAGGAGATTAAGCATTATAGTCACAGAGCACACGGAATAGAAGAAAGGAAAATTCAATACATAGCTTGTTGATTGCATAAAAGCGCCCTTTTGTTGGTTTAAGTGCATTGTATCAGTAAGATGTAAGAATAATTACAGAGCGAATATTTCGAGCGTATCCACAGAAAAATAGTCAACATGTACCTCAATGATAGACCTGATAAACTATTCATTATTTTGTAAATGTTCAGATAGTTCATTGACAAAATTCCATAGCAACAAAATCCCCTAGAATTAGACTAACGTTTTCCAAAACTTACCGAAAAGGTCCTTCTAACGTAGAAGACTCAAATAGATGTTTTATCTCAGCTCATGAACACTATCCTCTCTCGTTTATCTAACTTGTTTTTTATCAGTAGGCAGTCCACAAGCTACTTGGCGATTTATTTATTGCACCTGATTGGTGAATTTACTGTGCGGACTTCTCGAAAACAAAAATCCTCTTGCATACTTTTTATTAGGATCATGTTTTTAACTTTCAGTTGTTCCCAGTGCTTCAGACCTCTTGAATTATCCGAGTTTTACGAGGTGAGTATGTACGAAACGATACCCGTGTGTTAGTATAAAAACCTTTGCCTGCCATACAATCTTCTCTGCAAAATATAGATTTGTATTAGATAGTTCCGCTACAGCGTTTCTAAGGTGTATGTTGTTTAAACAAGTTCTTCGCTTCTTTTTAGCATAAGGGCAGGCGGTATTGTAGATACGATTTTCAAATCCTGATTGCACCGCTTTGCTCCAGATGCGGTAAGTTCAGTTATTTCCACCTTTCTATGGATGCAAAAAAACAATGTTGACAGTGCATAATGCTTAGTTAACACGCACTGTCAAACACTTAACTGAAATTCAGTAGTCTAAATTACCGGTTTCAAGCTCTAAATCTGTTTGTTAGGTCTACTACAGATTGCGCTTAGATACACATTTACAAGCTACTATTCATCCTGCTTCCAGTTTCACAATTACATTAACAGAAAATCTTATTCATATTTTGAGACGCAAAATTATTGTGCGCAATTTGGTATCGTTCGTTTTATGAAGAAATACTCGAGATAGTGAGTGAGATGGTTCCAGTATGAATGAGCCAATAACCCACCAGTATACAAGAGTGCTTTACCCTAGTGTGTACCGAAGTTGTAATGTAGCAAATGAAAGTAGTGCAGATACTGGGAGTAGCATGAAAGGTCAAATTTACTATCCTCATTGAAGCAATGCCTGAGTGACAGGATAGGTGATGTTGTGCACTTGACTTTCATGTAGTGTGGAACATTGGAACCTACTGGAACATTGTGTTTAAAGGGGAATAAAAGCTCCAGCTTTACTTAACCCATAGGGTAAAAAGAGTACGGGTCGGGTCTAATGAAAGGCCAAGCAAACTTATAGCGGGTTGGACTCGCGTGTTAGCCGTATCTTCATCGGGCTCATGTAGCACTTAAACAGAATGCACGCCGGCTCAAAGCGAGACATCCCACCACGCCCTCCGAAACCGCTTTGGAAAGGAAGTAGGTGGAATAACAAAATGAAAGAAATTTCATCCGGTAGAATGCAGTTAAATTAGGGAATATCGCGGTGTAGCTCGGCCAGATGACAGTCCAAGCGGGTCTTAAAGTCCGCCACAGTGGGTGCCAAGACTAAATCGGCAGGCAGAGCATTCCAAGGTCGGCAGATTCGCAAAGCGAAGTAGTGTCGTCTGCAGTTCAGCCGACTGTGCTGATGTGTGAGCCTCAGTGGGTGGCCACGTTGGTGGGAGCCTGATTGGTGCAGTGTGAGTAGGTGGCGACAGAGATGTCCAGGGTTGGATAAGATCATGAATACGAGGATCAGGTCGCCCCGTAGACGTCGGTACTTAAGCGAGTAGAGGTCCAGGCACTGAAGTCATTGTGGATAATCTGGGTGCTTGAGACCTCGGACCAGTTTGGTTGCTCGACCTTGTGGGGCTTCGAGTATGCGTTGGTCCTTCAACAACCAAGAGAGAGAGAAGAGAGCTAATGCCGGAAATGCAAAAGCTAACAGTAATTGTTAAATTTAAAAGCCAGACACTGTATGAATTCAGCGTATTCCGTTTGTTCTCATTCAACCGTATACATACTAGTAGTGAAAAATTTAAACCAAAGGAAGTGAAAGAGAATACTGAGAGTCCATAAAAGGGCTATCTCAATGCCTTCAAAGGAAAAGTCTTACCACGGCAGAGTGATATGGGAAACAAGCTCCAGTTGCTTGTATAGGTTAGGTTTTAGCCGCCTGATGGCCACTTCCTCAACGAATCAGAGCACGTTCGGATTAATGTGCCTGCTAGGAAACTTGCATGCTTGTTGCACATTCGAACAGGTGTCTAGCAAGTGAGCTAAAAATTTTGTAACAGTCAAACCTAGATACTTTGGAATGTGCTCAGAAATCAGGGTTGGCAGTCTTCTCTCAGTCCAGCCGAAGTACATGCTACCACCTGTACCGTTAAACTGACGAACACTGGAGGCGGTAACTTGAGAGTGAGGACTGCCCAACTTGTGGCAACACGACTTAAGCTGCAGGGTATCACCTCTTTATGGATTGGCGTAAGTGATGGAAGAACGTACAAGCATTTTCCCTTTGTAGGACAATGTAATGAAGACCTTATACTTAGGAAGCGCAACCGGTTTATCATTTCCTTCTATTTCTGCTACATATTTCTCAATAATTGTTTCAGGATAAACATAAGCGCTCTAGGTGGAAATGACACTTTGTAGTTCCTTCTGGATACATTCTCCTGAACAGATTCGTTGGGGTCTTAGCAAAGAAGTATGAATCAGCACACCTTTTTAGCTCAATACGCTGTTGGAGTTTAACTAGCGCCATGTACAACTCGCTTTATGGCAAATCGACCTGACGGATGAAATATCTGATCTCCTCCCTAGGAATATATCAAGAAAGGGAAAATTGTCTGCCGAATCTTTTTCGATAGTGAATTTGATCACTGGGTGAAAATTTCAACGATTCTAGCATGATCTCAAGTTGCTGTTGATTATCGACAACCACCTATGTATTGTCAATGTAACGGTGTAAAAGAATGCTTCCTTCATGCGCAGATGCAACTTGGTGTTTTCCAGATAGGATATAAAGATATTAGCTAAAATGGGCCGAAATGGGTTACCCATAGTAACACCCTCGATTTGTCGGTAGTGGTTTCCATTGAACGAAAATTCAACATCCGCCAACTTAAATGTTTCTTCCCCCCCCCCCCCGCACCTTAAGTTCTGAAACCGAAACGTTTGCCTGGAACTTTAAAGGAGACGCCCCCATCATAAGGTTTTCGTGCATTGCGCTATTGTGTGGTCGGAAAGCACTTTTACTTGTAGTTTGAAATCTACCTTCATCTATATTAATGAGAAAGTCAAAACCATCAGTTTTACGCACAAGCCCAATTTCTCTTGGAGTTTGCTTTTCGGATACGGGCTCCTTCCTTTTAATACATCTGAGACGTTGGCGTATAAAACCCATTGCGTTTTGCGCTGGTGGTTATTTGGTCTGTCACAAGAAAATCCAAGGACCCAACCACCTCACTCAATGTTTTCCTTTCCTTATCTACTTGATACTTTGTGCGTGTACCAAGAAAGTATAGTACGTGAATCATAAAGCACCTTCGGTTCCCTTGTTTACGCAGCTGTTCAGGAGCTGTCTGTGCTCACCTTGTAACCCAAACTGCAATTTAATTCGTACTTCCATATCTTGGCATATGCTTGGGGCCGACTGGGTATGTATGATTTCGGAGTAAAAAAATAAATATCGTTTGAGCTTAGGCTTGTACTATGACTACGTTTAACTTATTGACACAATAGCATCTCCAAGCCAGGGGGTCGGTACACAACTAACCATGTTCTGCTAACACAGTAGGATGAATATGGTGAGGAATAACTCAAGTCTGTGAGTAACTGAGTCGCAGTTTCAATCGAAGGTATCGATGAGCATCGAACCTTGTGAATTGGCTCTCGTCACAGGTCGTTCACATGTTTTACATCCTTGTTCCGGTTGTCACTGCTACACGTTTCTACACGATTTCGTCCGACAAATTTTCCAAGTGTTGAAACAACCTCCAAGCCACTCTTTGCTCCTCCATATCCAAACGGTTAATGCAAGTATTGACCTTAGTAATAATTTCAACTGTTTATGCAATTAATCTTTTGTTTGTTGCTGTTTATCCTCTCTTACTGATCTGGACACTAACCCAGACGATTTGGTGCAACTTGTCTAGCGATGTACGGCCACTGCCGAATCTCTTAGTACGGCCCCCTATGCGAGCTCGTTTCTCGAGGACGCGAAACATTACTCATTCGTTTTGCTACATTGGTGCGTAGCACACTAGCCGTGTACCTACGTACACTTAAAGACACATTTGCAGTTGTCGTTTTCCAGCATCTTACCGGATGACCACATTCGTCTCTGTCCTTATTTAAAGTAATTAGTTATCTACAACATTTTGATGTATGTTGATGTATACATTTCGCATTGTCATCTCAGTACCTACAAACGTTCGTCCTCTACGTCCAGGGCAGCCTTAAGCTAACGAATAAACTTTTCGGAACACACAAGACTGCCTTTATCTAGTTTATAACGGCGGTCTCGGAAACCCCGGGGAAGCGAGACGTAGGGCTACGCAACACCACTTTGAACATTGAGTTGAGCTCGATTCGGTAAGTTTATGCAAGAAGAAGGTTATTTGTTAAGGAAGCCGGCGGCATACGTGGGCACGGATGTTGAGTGTGGGCAGGGATCTGAAAAGCTTCACAATGAACGCAACTCAGCACATATGCCGCATTCTGGGAAGTCACAGTCCTATCTGTGCTGCCTACGTAACTGACTCCGCAGTCATACATGCACTGGTACACGCACCGAGAGTTGGTCAAGATAAGTTGAAGTATTTTCGTTGAGGGGACAGGCAAAGTTCGGAATCGGTTGGTCACAAAGCTTTGGGCAAGTAGTACTTTCCCTCCGTAGTTGAGATTGTACGCATATATTTCTTCTTTCTGTTAGAACCAACTTATTCTTGGCTGTCATTTGCACCAAGTTCCTCGACCAATGCAGTTGACGGATTGTCAACAGATCTTCGTAAATTATCGTTTATCATTTGTCTTGAAAGTAATGTAAGCTATTCAGTCAAACAGTCCGCTGAGCAGATCCGTTTAATACCAACAAATATAGTATTTCCAAGTTACCGCTTGTACCGCACTGATGTGAAACAAGTGATATGCAACTACTGATAAGATTAACTTGCCCTTTAATTAACAGACTGCTTAACAAACCATCGTCTCTACAACCGATGAATACGTCCAAATATGACAGGCAATTTCTCGTTTGACTTTACGGATGAACTGTAAGTCCAGAATTGCTCCATTAAAAAGTTCTAGTAACTGCCCGCGCTGGTGCCCAGACGGAAGAAACACAAAATATCACCAACACTGCGTTTTCTAGCAGGTACTCCGGATGTTTCAGTCAGTAACATAAAGAGATCAACTAGTACAGGAACAAGCCGACTGCCAATTGCCACTACTTTCAATTTCGCTGTACCGTATGTTCGAGAAATGAAAACCACCAAAAATAGCATGGATAACTTCGAAAATGCAAACAAGTGGGTTAATGAACGGCCAGAATGTTCACTTAACTCATATACATAATCAACAGTTTAGTAAAGCTGGACGTTAGTGAACAAGAATGCCACATTGAAAGAGTACATAACCGGATCAGATGAGATGATATCGTACAGGTACTGCACTATTTAA